GAATGAATGAAGAGAGATAAAGATATGAATGAGGTTTATTAGCTAGTCTGATGACAATTATCCATACAGATGGGAAGAATTAGTACAGAAAATCCTAAAATACAGATAGTCCGAGAAGTATTTCTATTTTGATTATGTTATGTGATGTTATGGTTGACTCTTTCCTATTTTTTCTTAAGGTGGCAGCATGAATACCAGCTGTGTGTTTGTGTTTGTGTCTGTATGTGTTAAGTGTGTATGCATACACACCTGTGAGGTAGTGAGGGGAAATTATATTGGGAAATTACCTAAAAATAATCCACAAACTGGGTACTTTCATTCTTCACAAAACATTTCATGCGTAAGACTTGCTAAGTATCAAGCTCAAAGACTATGTGAATACGATCTTCCAAGAGCTTCGGGAAACTTACAAACAGTTCATTGAAAGTTGACCAGAGCCTGAACTACCCATGTATATGAGTTCTGTGGGCATCAAGTTTGGCTGGTTGTCTTCTAAACTTCCAATTCTACTCTTCTTGTGTAATATAGCTGGACAGTTAAGGGGGACTAGTGCTCCCCTGAAGCTGGTACAAGTGATCCCTTAAGAGAAAAGCACAAGAGCCATTTGGATTAAGAATGATGCTCAGATATTTTCCATGGTTGTAGGAAGAGATGTTCTTTCTCTGCTTACGATGTGAAATAAAACTCTGGCAGCCCTCTTGCTACTATGAAAGAGGCTAGCTTGAGGACAAAGCAGACAGCAGAGGGCAGAACCGAGAACCAGAGCCACAGCCCTATTGACTTTGTGAACCTCTGGATCAAACCCTACCTGATGCTTGCCCCATTTCTGGACTTCACATAAATCCAAGACAATAAATCCACTAAGCTGGTATGAACCAGGGTGTCTTTTATTTGCAATGAAAGCCATCCTGATACAGTGCTCTTCTTTTAGGCCATCCTCTCTGCTTGTCATGCTCCCAAGTGTGGATGACACCTATGTCCTTCGTGCAGTCAGCATTATGATCACGCATACACAGACACATTTCAGAATCCTAAGGCAGTGAACTCTTTTTTGGTTCACATACATGTGATGTTCCATTTTTCTGGTAAAATGAAGATTAACTAGAGTGCCTCACGTTAATGTCAAAACTCTAGTAGCAGGGGGCCTCACAGACCTACCTACGTTTTTCAAGTTGCATTCCTGAAGCTTTGCTGAACATGCTTTTAAAATGCCTACTTGGGGGCACCTCGGTGGCTCAGTTGTTAAGTGTCTGCCTTCGGCTCAGTTCATGATCCCAGGATCCTAGGATTGAGCCCCCCGCATCAGGCTCCCTGCTTGGCTTGGCAGGGGGTCCTGCTTCTCCCTCTCCCACTCCCCCCTGCTTGTGTTCTCTCTCACGCTGTGTCTCTATCAAATAAATAAAATCTTAAAATGAAAAAATAAAATGCCTACTTGAACGCCCGGAGAACTCTGAGGCCTGTTCTCCAGCCAGCCAGGCCCAGCATCGGCCTGAGGCCTGAGGGCAGCGCTGTCCAAGGGACAGCGAGCCCGGAAAGGTCACGTGTGAAGAAACTCTCCAACAGGCCGTTCCTTATTTATTGGGTGCCAGATACACGGGACCAGGACAGAAGACTCCTAGGGCATGTGATTTACATGGGGTGGGGTCCCAGGGGAGAACACAGAGAAGAGGCAGAAATACGTACACGGGGGAAGCAAAGAAGGACCGCCATTTCAAAAAATATATACATCTTATGAAGCCATTCCAGCCATTTAATCATTATCAGAAAATAAAACAATCTTTCCACATCATGTGTTTCTTTGGTGCTCTTCCACGGGCCCTTCGGTCTTCCCATCCCGTTTGTCACCTCTGCCCTGCGCCCCGCCCCTTACTTCTCCCATCCGCACAGGGGTAACGGAGGGCCTGGGGGAGGGAAGAGGGGAGCCCCTGCCACGGAGCTGGGTGTTGATTCTGGCTACTCTGAAGCCCTGCCTGGCCTCCCCACCAGCGCCCCGGTCCGGTCTCGAGTCTTCTACTCGGTTCTTCAGTCATGGCCTGGGAAATCCTCGGTTTTCTGGATGCAGAAACAGGGGGCCACCACCCAGGTTCACGTGTGACAAAGTCCATCTAGAAGCTCTAGAAAGGGTGGGGACACGAGAACCAAACAAAACCCAGCCAATACCACCTTCTCCATGGTTGGATTTTTACATTTTATTTCTTGGTTCATTTCAATGACCTGTATCATGAGAGTACAAGTGAGAAGGGCAATTTCGTCTTTACAGATTTTCCATGAACAGATTTGGGGACAGGGAGGGAGGCAAGCAAGTTCTGCCCATTTGGGGGGGGTAGGGCGGGCATCCTAAACTCTCCTCGCTTCACCATCCCCCACTAAGTCAGGGCCCCCTTTCCCAGGGAGACCCCAGAGCTGGCAAGACCTCCAACTAAAAAGTTGGCCTACATTTTATCTGACCGTCCGATGGCTCCGTTAGTATACACCAGGGCCTCTCCCACCGACCAGAGCTCCCAGCGCACCGGAGCCATCTCCCGCGGCCACTGGGGTTTCAGAGGAAGAGCAGCGCCCCGCGTGCTTGCACAGAGCCACCTCCCCTTCATGGCTAGAGGGAGGATCTGATGACAGGACGCTTGCAGAAGCCCCGGACCCATCCACACACTGTGCACGGTCTCCCACCCACCCCAAACCAGTGCAGTGAAGATGCTTCTCCTAAAAACGGCTGGTCTCAGATACCAGCCTCGCACAGGCCCCGGCCGTCAGCTCGGGCCTCACGCTGACACCAGAAGTGCCACCCGGGGAGAAGGTGCCACCCTCAGCGCCCCCCCCCCACCAAAGCACACAGCACAGCAGAAGGCAGGGGGAGAAACTCCCAAGGAGCATACCCCAGCTTTTCTCACCACGAGGGATCTCAGGCTCTGACCTTAGGGTGTGGCTCCTCACAGCTCTCAGACTGGGGGCTTTGCGTGGGTCCCTTGATGCTTCCATGCCTGTGAGCCCACCTCGGGACTGCCCAGGCAGCTAAGGATGAAGCATCCTGGACAGTAATTCCAATGCAGACCGTCAGGTGGCTTTGGCCTTGCACTCCCCACAGGCTAACAGGACAGCACACTTCACTTGGCTGTGAGGCCTCTTGGAACACTCGTATCTTGTTCATGAAGACATCAGAGAGCCACTCTGTGGCCTCTGGTTCTCAGCCAACCCTCAGGCCTGGGGCGACCTCACAGCACAGTTCAGAGGGGTGGTGTCTGGGGGCAGAGAGGCAGCAAGGTGAAACCAGCATCACCTGCTTCCCATGGAAGGCTGCAGGGCCGTAGGAGCCAGCACCTGGCCACCTGGTGTCCTAGCGACGGGCAGGCCGATCCACCAGCCTCTCCAGGTGCCAGGAGGTCTGGGTCAGTGTGCATGGATCCCCCAGAAAAGTCCCAGGTAGGGCTGCTCTGGTCTTTGCTTCAGAGGGTGCCTTCCCCACCACGCCTGACCCCACCTTCCTCGTCGGGGGACCCTCTGAGCTGCCATCGGCCAACCTGTGCTCAGCAGATGGGCTGGTAAGAGCTGTCCGAAGTGGACCGACTCTCAAGGCCACTCACAGGAATCTGGTGACTGCCCCCATCTGCCTGGGGCTGAGGGGTTTCCCGGGACACGGCTTTTCAGTGCTAAAACCAGGAACATCCTGGGCAAACTGGGGTGGTCAGTCACGTGACATAGCGGCCAGGAAGACAGGGCCGGGGGTCCCCCCACAGGGCTGGCCCTTTGCAATGCATTTGAGGAGCTATGTCATGTCTTAGTCTCAGGATGGTAGCAATAGCCCCTCCTGTGACACTGATTGGCTCTGGCTCAACCATTCGGAATGCAGGGCACGGGGTGACCTGGTGTCTACTGCCCTCAGAAACTAGCCCCACGGGGATCCCGGCTGGCAACTTCCCAAGCACACCATCTTCAGGGTTCCCCACCTGCTTATCTTGCTTCTGGGATTTTCTGTGCTCCGCAAAGATTGGTTTGAGCCTTTCCCCATTTTGCCCCAAGCCTCCCAGGACTGCCAGCCTGGAAATCAGTGCCTAGGGTGCCCTCAGAGGTGGCCAGGCCCCTAGTCTCCCCCAAATTGCCACAGGCCCATCTGCTCCGAACTGGCTGGAAGGCTGACAGGGCCAAGCAGGAGGAGCAGCTCCGCGGAATATTGCCTGGCCCTGCTCTTTTCAGAGGCAGCACTGTTCCCAGCTACGGACCTGAAATCCCCTTGGCTGGCTGAACCCACTGCATGAGCGGAGGTAGGAGCAGGAAGTAGCAGGGATCTCCTGGGAGAGGAGAGGGGAGAGGAGAGGAGGAGGACTGGTGGGTCTTGGTGTGGGGACAAGCAGGTGTGCGGGTACCAAGGGGTGGGTGCCCAGGAAGACGCCCGAGCTCTGGCAGCTGCTCTCTGGATGGGGGTCCCTAACGGGAGGGGAGTGTGCACCAAGCAGAAAGGCTGCAGGGCAGGAGGCCCTGGGACTGGGGAAGGTGTGGGGCCGCTGGAAGAGCCCCAAGTAGCAGAGTTGGCAGGGCCTCTGGAAGCAAGCCCCTACCCTCTGGAAAGGGACAACTTCCAGTGGCACCCAGCCTGAATTGGGTGAGCACTGCCCACCCTGTGCGGTAGGGGGGTGGGGGTCGGGTTAGGATACGCACTACTGTTCTCCTGGGGCTTTCATGGGCGGAAGGGGCACTTCCTCGATGGTCTCCAGTTTCAAGGGTGTCAGCCCCGGCCCAGACCTAAGCACTGCCCATGGAGAAGGAAAAACATACCCAAGAAAAAGCCAGTTACAGATGAGCCCACGCCCTGCCCTCCCCTCCCTGTTCCCCTGCCCCGCTGTACTCCGGACTCCACACACAGCCGGGAGGCGAGGGAGCCCTTCCTCTGGGACTGCCCGTGGTCATGATACAGGGCTTGAAGGTCGAGGCTGGTGGCTGTGGAGGTCTCCGCGGCGGTCCGTCCGCCGGTCTGTCCGCGGGTGGGAGTCGGTCCAGGTGCCGGGCCATCAGACCTTGGCCTCCAGCATCTCCAGGAAGAGTTTGTGCATGGGCACCTTGCCCTGCAGTTTGACGCTGTAGAAGTGCTGCACGGCCTTGGCGGCCGTCTGCCGCAGCAGGGGCAGCGTCAGCAGCAGCTTGCCCGTCCTCCGGGGCTCCTCGTGGCGCTGGCTCAGCTCGTAGTCCTGCAGCGCCTCGTGCAGCAGGTCCTGCAGCTTCTGCACGGCCTCCAGATCTTCGATGTACATGGAATCTGTGGGCACAGGGAGAGCGTCAGGGGTCGCGGCCCTGGGGGGGGGGGGGGCCCGACTTCGGGAGGGGGGGGTGGGGGGGGGGGGGGTGGCTTGGGGCCCTGGGCTGTTGCCCCCCTCCCCTCACTTTACAGAGAAGGAGACAGAGACTACGGAGGCTAAACTGCCAGCCTGAGGTCACAGAGGCCCGTGACAGAGCCGAGGCTTGGAGCCAGGGAGCCATCTCCACCTTGGAAGGTCATCTCTTGAGAAACCACCAAGAGGGGTCAGCGGAGACCCTGAAGGACTTGGACGTGAGCAGACCGGTCACTGCCCTGGAGATGCCAGGTGAACTGTGGAGCCAGACTACTGGAGCTGGAGTCCTGTGTACCTCCCTTGCTAGCTGGGTGACTTTAGTCAAGTGATTTAACTTCCCTGTGCCTTACTTTTCTGAGAGAATAGCCACAGGTACCTCAAGAGGTTAAGTGAATTAATGCAAGTCGAGGTCTAAAAACAGTACTTGTCCCGAAGTGAGTGCCCCACTGGTGGCACCATGACCAGTATCATCACTGGGATGGTCACTGCTGCTGCCACCGGGCACCAGCCTGTCCGCTGGTTACAGCATGCAAATACACACGGAGAAAGGGGCTGAGCTCTGTGCCCAGGTGCCCTGTGGCGGAGGTCTGGGCGGGGGCCCGAGACAGCATGGCCAGATGCACGGGCCACAGTGACAGCGGATGCTGTTGGGAGTCCTCTAAAAATCCCGAGGAGGGCTTTGGACTCAGCCATGAGTCACAGGTTCAAATGGAAGTTACCTAAATCCCAGCAGGACAGGCGGGCATCTGCTGACAGCTGGCTTACAGTGGGGTCTGAGCTGAAGCCAAGGCCATTTCCTGGCACCCAATCCCTGGACTCGAGGGAAAGAGCCCGCCTTCTTCTGATGTTCCTTAAAGAGCTCCAACCAGCACCCTGCAGTGCAGTGCCCAACCTGCCAAAGGCATGAAGCCCTGGAGGTCACATGGACCAAGTGAACTGGGAGCTCTGGCCAGGCGGCCAGGGCAGGCGGGGCAAGGCTCCCGAGGTCCTCAAGAGAGTAGGGCAATGCCCTTGCGTGCCAGGTTAGTTTAGGTACCAAACCGCCAAGGGCAGCTGTTCTAACTGGCTGACCCCTGTGACTCCTTCTGTCTGATCTTTTGCAGCCACGAGCAGCCCATGCCTCCAAGGGTCCTGCCTCTTCCTCCTGGGAGAAGCGCCAAATGAGACAGATAAGACTCTGGAATCTTTGATGCTGCGTTACTCTGGCCAAGTTACTCAGGCTCTCTGACATTGTATCCTCATCTGTAAAATGGAGCAAACGCCTCCATGCCTCAGAGGGTAGTGGTGAGGATTAAAAGAAACAGCACATTACCAGGCACTCAGTAAGCACCTGATAAATGTAGTATTATCATTACCATGAGGACTCAGCCTAGGGCGAGTGCCCTCAGCATGCTGGGGTGTTACCGGCCTCATACCCAAGATGCCTCCACTCCTACACTCTCGGCAGGTTCTAGAACGTGCATCCACGATGCGCTGGTCCCTCGAAGGCTGGGACGTGGCCATCCAGACCCCCTGCCTCCCCGCCAGCTTCCTTGCTCCTCCCCCTCCACTCCCCAAGGAGGCCAAAATTGGTAGCTGCCTCGACCAAAAATGAAATAAAATAACGTTGCAAGATTAATTTCTTTGCAATCCATCAGTGAGTCTGTATCGATGGCATTGATAAACTGTTAATTACAAAATCAATGGCTATGAATTTTTTCTGCTGTCAGGGAGCCTTGGAGAAGCCCGGGACTTGGGGTGAAAGATAGCCACAGGATCCTGAGGGGCTGGGGTTGGGGACCCCAGCCTGTCTCTGATGTGCTTCACGCTTCTGCCTCGTGCCAGCCCCCGCAGTCAGGTTGAGTGGTTCTGCCTTGTGCTCTCCCCCTGTCCTGGGCTGCACAAACTCCACCTACTTCCTGAACTACCTGTACCTGCTCGGTGGCCTGGGAGAAAGGGCAAGAAGGGCAGATAGATCCCTGGCACTGTTTCTCGTGCAACAAAGAGTATACTCAGGCCACGCTTGATGCTAGCAAGGGTGCTGCTGAGCTCAGGTTTCTAAACCACGGCCAGTCATCAAGTTCTGTGTCCACATGTGTGTGTGCACGGGTGTACACGTGTGTGTGTGCGTATTTGAGCATATATGTGTGTGCGTTGAGTGTGCACATGCCTGTGTCTGTAAGTGTGCAAGTGTCTGTGCATGCACGTGCCTATACTCGTGACCACGTGTGTATCTACATGCGTGTCTACGTGTGCACGTATCGGTGTGCACCCAAGCGTCTGTGAGCATATGTGCATGCGTGCGCACATGTCTCTGTATGTGTGAGTGTGTGCACACATCTGTATTTGTGTGCCTGTCTTCATGTGTATATGTGTGTGTGTGTGTGTATGAGTGTGCACACATGTGCCTGTGAGATCAGAGCCAAGAGCAGATGGCAAAGCTGAAATGCCGTCTGAAAGCTGGCCCAACCGGGCACTGAGGCCAGGGGGGAGGAGGTGACAGTTGACCTGCCTCCCACCTCTTCACTCCCCTCCCCCAGCATGGGCCAGCCCAAGCTCTAGGTCAATGATGAAAAGGTCCGGAGAGTCTAAAATCAAGGATGTGCCCTCCAAGGCCTGGCAGCCTTGCTGGTCGCACCGTTCCCACTCCCATTTCCTCTGCTGCCTGTGGTCCCTCCGCCCACGCAAGCTCCGAGCTCCTCTTGCCAGGGCTGGTCCCCACGCTTCCCTCTGAGTTGTTGAGTGCAGGCTTATGGGGCAGGGGGCTGTTCTGCAGGGCAGGTAAGGGGAGAGCTTTGTCACTACCCATTTGTCAAATCTGCAGACCCACACCACACAAGGAGTAAGCCCTGATGTCATCTAGGGACTTTGGTTAATAATAATGTATCAATATTGGCTCATTCATTGTAACAAATTACTACACCAATACAAGATGTGAACAATGGGGGAATGGTAAGGAGTCATGGGTGCAGTGGTGGATGGGGTGGAATGGGGGCACAGACCTGTGGCACCAGCTGCTCAATTATTCTGTAAATTTAAAACCATTTTTAAAAAACCCAACAGGAGGACGCCTGGGTGGCTCAGTGGGCTAAGCCTCTGCCTTCAGCTCAGGTCATGATCTCAGGGTCCTGGGATTGAGCCCTGCATCGGGCTCTCTGCTCAGCAGGGAGCCTGCTCCCCCACCCCACTCTGCCTGCCTCTCTGCCTACTTGTGATCTGGCAAACAAATTAAAAAAACAAAACAACAACAACAACAAAAAACAACCAACAGGACTGGCATTCTCTCACAAAGAATATACTACCATTTTGGAATCTTAAAATGTAAACAGTCTGTATAAAAGCCCGTAAAATTTTCATTATCATTTTGCATTTGTTTAATAAAAAAAGGGAGTTAAACTAAAAAAAAAAAAAAAAAAAAAAAAAAAAATGCTTGCCTCTCTGGATTAGATCAGGTTCCCCAAAAGCAGAGCCCCAAACCAGGATTGGGGTGCATGGGATGTCTGGGGGGTGTGCTTTCAGGAGGAAGGAAGGGAGAGAGGCAGGCGAGTGTGAGGGTGGAAGCAAACCAGTCAGGACACTGCCGTGGCTTTGGCCTGACCCATGCAGAGCTCTGATCCCGCCCTGCAGGAGCCCAGCCTTTTGTTCCCCCGCGTGGGTCACCACTGGCTGAAGGTGCCAACGTACACAGCTTTCTAGGCAAGACAGGGGAAGGGGACACCTGGGGAAGGGGACAGCTGGGAGCTGTTAGCCCCGGAACTCAGCTGCTGGGGTACAGGAGCGCTACCCCAGTAAAGGGGGGGCTGACCAGGGCATCTGCGGCATCCCCTGCCTTCTCTATGAAGTGATCTGTTGGGGGGCCGACTGTCTGGGTTTGCCGGCGATGGAGGGCTCCTGGAACATGGAACAACAGCATGAAGCCAACCACTTGGTCATCCTATCTGGTCTGTCTCTCCCTGGGAACCAGCTCTCCCTCTTCCCTGTGCTGATAACACTTTGTTTCCTCTAATATTAATAGTAATGATAATAATTAATATTTATTGAACATTTCCTTGAGGCCAGGCACTGACCTAAGTGCTTTATCTTCAGCCGATCATTTAACAGCAAAGTGCTTGGAGGAGGTCCTGGGATAGCCCCATTTTACACACAAGGACAGGGCTAAGGAAGGTTGCCAACTTGCCCAGGGTCACACTGCTACTAAGCGTCAGAGCTGTAATTTGAACCTGAGTCCCTTCGACCCGGACTTGAGCCGGCACACGCCGCCCTAGAGCAAACTTGCCTGACACTCTCTCTTTAGGACAGGGAGCCTGACTCTCCCCTGCATTCTCCACCTGCCATCGCCTGGCTCAGTGGGGGCCGCTCCCTAACTGTGGACACAGATTACACTCCAACTCGCTCACCTGCATTGCCAATGCCCAGCCCCTCTGCCCAGGGATTCCAGCCAGAAGCTGGAAGGGGCTGAAGGAATGGAGTGAAACCTCCTTTTCATTTTTTTAATTAAAAATAAATTTTTAAAAAGATTTCTTTATTTTAGAGAGAGAATGCTAGAGAGCAGGGGCAGGAGCAGAGGGAGAAGGAGAGGGAATCCTCGAGCAGACTCCCCACTGAGGACAGAGCCAGATGTGGGGCTTGACCCCAGGACCCCGAGATCATGACCTGAGCTGAAATCAAGAGTCAGATGCTTAACTGACTGAGCTAAGCCACCCAGGTGCCCCATGAAGCCTTTTTTTTTTTTTAAGGATTTTATTTATTTGACAGAGAGAGGGGTCACAAGTAGGCAGAGAGACAGATGGGGGTGGGGGGTGGGAAGCAGACTCCCTGCCAAGCAGAGAGCCCAATGCAGGCTAAAGGCAGAGGCTTAACCCACTGAGCCGCCCAGATGCCCTGAAGCCTCCTTTTTAATGACAGTCCAGACCAACTCGGTTGGGCAGGTTTTTCTCTCTTGTATCTGAGCAGTTTGACTGGGAGACTCAAGGAGCAGTTTTATAAGCTCGGGGTTGATTTTGCAGAGGACTTTGGATCGAGTCCTACCTCGGGCACCCCTTAACAGTGTCACCCTGGGCAATTTTCTTCACCTCCCCAGGCCTCAATATCCCCATCTGTACAATGGGGAGAGAATCATGAGACCCTTGATCATAGGGTTGTGTGTAAGAATTAAGTAAGTTCCTAGCTAATTTACTGAACAAGCTGAACACTTATGCGCCGGGCATGTTGTGAGTATAATATAATCCTGTATAAACAAATCCCTTCCCCAGTCTGGTGGGGTAGGGACTCTTCAGTGCTCCCATTTTATTGATAAGGAAAATGAGGCAAAGAGGAAAGCGACTTGCCCAAGGCGGGGGGAGCAGGATTTGACTCTTAGCAGCTTGGCTATGGCATCTGTGTTCTTAACCAGTGTGCCAGGCTAGGCATCAGAGGCCCAGCCTAGTGCCCTACAAATCCGGGGCTCGGGAAGCACCTGATTGCTGGCCTTCATCACCAGCCTCTCAGCTCCAGGCCAACCCCTGCACAGCCTCTGGTGATAAGAAGCTCCGGCATCTTCCCGCCATCGCTGCCCGCCCCCCCATGGTGGCCCTGCTCACAGGCCCCGCCCAAGGAGACCTCTGGGAGCTCCTGCTGTGGGACCCACACGCACCCTTACCTGAGTTGGCCAGAGCCAGCGCCTTGAGTGTCACAAACTCCTCCTTCTCCACCTTGAGCTTCTTGTACCTGCGCACCAGCTGCAGGATGGCCCGGTAGAGCTCCAGCAGCCCGGCGAGGCGGGAGTGCTCCTCGTCCATGACATAGTCCTCAGCGAACACCAGCTTGTCGTCGTAGGGCAGCGAGCGGTACACGATGCCCAGGATCAGGATCTCCATCCAGGCGCTCTGCAGCAGGCTCATCTGATCCCCGAGAGACAGGTTCGAGAAGCCTGCGGCAAGAGAAGGGGCAAGGAGGGCGGCGGCAATCAGGTGGGCTGGCTGGAGGAGGGGGTCCCGGGCACCTCCGGGTCCCACCCCGCCCTCTGTCCCAGCTGGATTCCTTTTCCTTTCCTCGATCAAGGAGTCAGACGGGGAATTCATGCGAAAGACTTACACAACGAGAGCTCAGTCAATGTTGACAGTTGCTATCACTATTATTGTTAGTTCTATGCCGTTTTTTCGAAATGTCTGTAGAGGCTTTTTGATTAATTAAATGCATCTGTAATTTAAGGAGTTATTAAATTCATAGCAGAATCAAGAGGCAGCAGTATAGGGTCCCCTTTCCCCCAGAGGACTTTGCAGATTTTTCTCAACGCTCAGCCAGGGGAGGCTTTGGGGTTTTAAAGGACACCTGATCCTCAGTGCAAAGTCTCAGCTGTGTGTGCTGACCCAAGGGCCCAATCAGGAAAGAGGACTCAGCTGTTCCCAGCCAGTGATCACCCCCGCCCCCCAGTGACCACAGCCTGGGGCCACTAAGAGCTCAAGAGCCCCCAGGGTCAGAGGGTACTTTCTCACAGGCAGCCTGTCCCCCAGGGGTCAGACCCCTGCTGCCCCCGCCATCACTCTCCACCTAACAATGACCTGAGCTGTCCTGCATTCTGTGAGCTTAGAATCATGGGAGTTTCCCCCTCCTGGCTAGCAAGGACGCCGACTCCAGAGCAGAAGGAGGTCAGCGATGGGGAAGGCTCCAGAATTATGTCACCGTCTGGTCCAGCATGCTCGGGAGACTGCCTGGGCCTGAGTCCCAACTTCCCCTCTCCTAGCTGTAGGCTGACCACGTGAAAGCTATGTAACTGCCACAAAGCTCAGTGTTCTCTTTTGTAAAATGGGCAGAACAGTAGCACCTGCTTCAGACTCGCAGGACATCTAAATGAGACAATGGTTGCAGAACCTGTATCATGTTCTCGGAGCTCACACAAATGTTACTGATGAGACGAAAACCCCACAGCGTCATCGCCCAGCAAGCTGGAGCCAGGGTGATGCCTGAGGAGATCGCTATGATTACTGTTTTTGTTGTTATTAGCATGCTGTCGGCCTGACTCCCCTCTCCTTTCTGGGCATGGCTGGAGGCCCAGGGTGGTCCCGCGCTTCGGCATAGGCCCAATGCTCTGGGTTTCCACGGAGTCTGTCCTACTCTCCCCTGCTGTCCCCCGAGTCTAAACTCCACTGTCCCTCTCCCAACCAGCACAGACGTGGTCAACTTTAGGGGGCAGTCCAAGGTGGAAGCCCCTTCACCAGGTGGGTTCCCGTCTGCTGGGGAGCACCCTCTCAGGCCAGTCATCATGGTTCCTGAGTGCGATCTATACCGCCCCCTGCCCTCGCCCAGGCTCATCACTGGCTGCCACCGGGTATCCACAGTGACTGACAAACAATGACACCAATGGAGAGGGGTGCGCCTCTCCTCGGGGACAGGCTGTGGCACCGGGTGGGGGGGGTAAGGTGCTGTCTGGATGCATGCTGTCTGGATCCCAGTGCACAAGGGGTGTGTGGCAGCCTGTGGTGGCAGGGACAGCCGGGAGGTAATAAAAGCCAGATAGAATGGACATCCAATTTCCCTTATCGGGCCTCTGAGCGGGAGAGGACTTGGGCGACATTAATTAACAGATCCCAATCAGCCGGCTCATGAGGGTGTGTGCACAGGGGGACACGGGGGGCTGCGCGGGAAGCGGACAGATCGGGAGGGGAGACATAGGAGGTGGACAGGGCGAAATTAACAGACAATTGAATCGGAAGGTGGCAAAAGGCGAGGTGAGGGAAGAGCAGGGGCTTCCGGAAAGGAAGGAGAGAAGATGCAGTGAGGCCCACCATGCAGGTACGACCCCTAGAGGTAACAACGTGCTTCTGTCTCTTTGTTCCTTGGGCAAATCCTCACTGTGCACCTGCTAAGCGCCAAGCGCTGGGGACAGAATGGCAAGCTGGAACCAGAACGGGCTCCCGTGTGCAAGAGCTCGCAGTCCAGAGGGAAAGGGTCGCCCCAAGCCCCGAGCTCTGCTGGGATCTCGCGGTTAGGACAGTTCGAAGGGCCAGAGAGATGGAGGGGCTCTGAGGACACACCATGGACGAACGTGGCCCAAACTGGAAAGTGCAGGAGACTGAGCCCTGCAAAGTGAGAGGAGCTCTGTCGGGGCTGGTGAGGACGTCCAGGTGAGAGCACCTGTGTGCCGGGATGGGCTTCCCTGTGCTGCCCAGCAACTGGCCTGGGACAACTTCCCCACTGCCCAGCAACTGGCCTGGGACAAAAATGACACCCAATGCATATTCCTAGCAGAATTGCATGAACCAATGCCACTGGGCCCTGACTCCTAGGTGACCAGAAAATGGACCCACAAAGAAATCAGTGAGACCCTCTTCATCCTTTAGACACAGGTTCAGATTCCGCCGCCTCTGCCCCTTGTGTACAAGCCAGTGACAGGTCCTCTGGGTAAGGGCAGAGCAGGTGGCGGGAGGAAGGGAGCCGGCGCCTCTGAGAGTTTGTGCCTCCCTCCAAGGCTATACCTCCTGGAAGAAAAGAAACACTAGAAGGGAAAATGAAAAATAAAAACAGCTCTAGGAAAAAGAAGGGGAGGCGACAGAGATGGAGGGGAGGGTTTTGTGGGCACATTTTTATCTAGTTTTGGCTTTTGAACCTGTCCATACTAAGATGTTCCCCAAAATAAAACTAAATCAAGCATAAAACAAAGGCTTGCCCCCATCAACCTAGCAAGTATACACTAGGAATTTCTCTCATAAACACCTAGATAACTGGGAAAGGGTGTTAGGTCGGTCTGTAATGACCCCAAACAGGAAACAACCTAAATGTAACGAATGTGATACATGTAATTACCATATAAACCTAATTATTAGCTAAATGAATGGCACATTAGAAGCCACCAGAAAGAATGAGGCAGAACTGTTTTTGTGGGTGTGGAAAGATACCCACGAGTGTAAGGAAGACATAACTGTATTAAGGGCACAGACACCAGAGCCAGACTGTCTGCTGGAATTCTAGCTCTGCTGGCCACTGGCTGTGACCCTGGGCATGTCCACTTCTCCGTGCCTCAGTTTCCTCCTCTGTAAACTGGGAATAATAATAATACTTCCCTCATGGGACTGTGGGATGAAATGAGCTATCACAGAGAACACTTAGTACAGTGCCTGGCCCCAGGTAAGTGCTACTATGTTACATAATTAAATGAAAGAAGCAGGATATAAAGCAGCGTTAAAGAACAGCCCTATGGGGGGGGCGCCTGGGTGGCCCAGTGGGTTAAGCCTCTGCCTTTGGCTCAGGTCATGATCCCACGGTCCTGGGATCGAGCCCTGTATCGGGCACTCTGCTCAGCAGGGAGCCTGCTTCCCCCTCTCTCTGCCTGCCTCTCTGCCTACTTGTGATCTCTCTGTCAAATAAATAAATAAAAATCTTTATTAAAAAAAAAAAAAAAAGAACAGCCCTACGGTAGGGGGAGAACGCACAGGCACAGGTGCACACCGACATGCACACAGGGGCTCTACGTGCACAGGAAATTCCCGGGGATGTTTTAAGAAAGATGAGGAATTTGGAACTCCTAATATCCATTCCTCTGTCACATCTGACATCTTTACTAGAAACATCTTTACTAGAAGCACATATCCTTTCTTTTATTTAAACCCAAACGCAGGGCTGAAGCACTCCTCCCTGCCCTTCCGCCCAGCACACTCCACTTCCGCTCTTCTGTGCTGGGCTGGGTCTCCTCCATCAAGCAATCAGCAATTCTGGGACTGGGTCAGGGCTTGCTGCCCAGGGAGGCTGGTGTGGCCCGGGGCCCTGGCGTCACACACTGCCCCCTTGAGGTCCTGCTGGCTGCTCCCGCCTGTCTCCTCAGGTCTCCCACCTGGAGCTCTGACCACCCCTCCACATCCCCCACCACCAAAGCTGCTTTATCTGCACCAACTGATCTGATAACATTCAGGCTCTTCCCAAGCCCCATCCCCCAGTGATGTGACAGCATGATCTCCTAGAATTTAAGAAAAAAAAAAAAAAAAAAGAGCACATAATTTGTGGCAAGTGGAGTTCATAATCTGTTAATTTATTATCGTTTCTGTCGACCTGGAGGGCCATTAGCAGAGGTAATAAAGGGAGATGTAATTATGGGATCTGAGGCCACTCCAGACACAGCTGCTGTCACTCAGCAGCCCATATTTTACTGGCCGCTGGCATTCCCTCCCCCGGGGGAGCCAGACGGTGGCTACCTGGGAGCAGGGCTTCCGGAGGAGGCCTCTGGGGGGTCCCCTGCAGAGCCGGCAGGACAAGGCTCTCCCGGGCTGGGGCAGCCTGTGGGCCGCCTGGGGTGGCGGGATAACTGGCTAATAGTCCAGAGGCTGCAGTTTGTCAAGGGACACCCACTGCCTCTTCAAGGCTGTTGCCCCTGTGCGCGTGTGTTGCTCACGGGGAACAGGATGTGGGCACTCTATAGACTTGGGCTCGTCCCCTGAGCAATGCAGGGCTCGGGGAATTCGACTCAAGGGAGAAGCCTGCGTGCGGCGTTAAGGCAGCGGCAGATGGACTCGAACGCGCGGCCGCAGTGCTGCATGAGTCGCCATCAGCCTTGGCTCCCCCCGGAACTCACCCCTGCAACATGTGTGCTCAAAAACAGGAGTGAAAGAAGCGGGGCTGCTGGGAAAGGAGTTTGTGCTCAAATGATCCTTCCTCCTGGCCACGCCGGTCGCTCAGCGCCCATGTGCACAAGTCAGTTTTCGGGCTCAGCCTTAAAACTCGTGTTCTGGGCACCCCAATGCCTTCTGATGGCCACGGCCCACCATCCCAAAGGCCTGGCTCAGGTTTCGCTCTCTGTCCCTGAAGCCCCTGGCGTCCCTCGTGCCTGGGGACACTGGCCCGTGGTTCTTCTTGCTGCATTCTAAGTACGCGGGATAGGAGATGGCAAACAGGGCAGAGGAGAAGCGAGACAGGCCGTGGGTGGTAGCACTGCAGCAGCATGCACGGACGTGCCCGATACTATTTGGTCTCTTTTCGTATGGTTAAAATTTTCTATGAAAAAGTATTTTGTTGTTTTTTGTTTTTTGTTTAAATTATCCATCTTATTCCCAAATGAGGTCCTCAGGGCAGAAATTAATCGAATTCTTTGTATCAGCCCCAACTTCTAGCAAGAAACCTTACATACACCTAATGCTCAATAAATGCATGCAAAGTCAAGTATGAAGCACCCTCTGTGTGCCAGGCTCTGAACAGATCCTGAGAGGCTAGCCCATACTGGCCCACGAGATAGGGTTTCCTGTGCTTAAGTTGAGTGGGCTGGGTGCCAACCTGCGCCATCTTAAGGAGAGAGTCCCGTGGTCGAGGACAGGATGGGCAAGGGCAGACAGCAGTCCCGGTCGGGGTGGGGTTGCTGGCTTGCACCTACCCTGCTAAAACCTCTCTTTCTGGCTCTCTCTCCCTCTCTCCCTCAAGGGCTAGTGAGCAGGTCTGCAGGTGAGTTTTCTGTCTAATCTGAGACGGAAATAAGTCGATTAGTTTAAATATATCAGGCACTTGATATGTCATCACCCCTAATAGGAGGTTTACATGTGGCAGCAGGAGACTCTTAATTAATTTTACCTTAAACACTAGAAGGTCAGGCCCAAATAATTCAGCATGCAAATTTATGCAAAATAGGCAAATTAGTGTTTCAGACAGACAAATGAGCCCCTATGTTTATTTTATTTTTTAATCAAAAAGAATTCAGCTCTGGACAAGGAAAAATGGAGATGGGAAAGGAGGCTTTTCATACTATTAGCAAAGACAATGACCCGGTCACGGTCCTGCCACTTGTGCCATACCCTCTGTTATGATTCCTGAGTCACAGGCAAGGACACTAAAGCTCAAGTCGGTCTGAACCCGAAGTCTGTGCCCCAACAACCACCCTGCTCGGCCCACTGCCCTCTTGGTGGGCACCAGCGGGAGATGGAGTTGGGGGGGGCAGGAAGATGTGGGAGAAGAGGGGTGCAAGGGAGACCGTGCCTCCTGGTTCTACCCCTGCCCTCAGAGGTGTTGAGGGCACTGGTGGCAGGAGAAGCAGTGACCTGGGGGTGCCACCAGGAGCCACTCCTGAGCCATTGCCGGGACACAGCAGAGGACTGAGCGTGTGGACCGGGGACAGCACGGGGAGGGGGAGAGGGAGCTGTACCAGATTTGGCCCTGGGTTAGTGGAGCAATCCAGGCTGAGGTGTCTTAAGCAGTGGCTTGACCCCACATCTGTGCTGAATCAGCACAGGCCAGATTCAAAGGCACTGAGTGTGTCATCCCAAGAGACTGAGCTCCTTAGTAAGGGCGCTCCAGCTCAGATCCCCTGGGAGCCCACCCCGAGTCAGAACGCCAGGGGCCATTAGGGAGTCCCCGTGGAAGAAATCCTACGCTTCCTGCCAGCTAAGTGACACCAGCATCACCTCCTGAGGCCTGGTCGGCACAGGAAAACTCCTTCCTAAAGGCTGAGCACGCCTCTTACACAAGGACATTCTGACTCATTCCCATCCACTGTGGGCTTTGGCATGTGAAGTCTAGGACACCTTTGCTACATCACCATGCGCACTGTATCCATTTCTCAAGCTGGTGACAAACACGAGAAGGATCTACAGACAGGAAGATAAACTGCCCCATGTCACAGAGCTAGTAAAACTCCAAGTCCACGGTGGAACACAGGATGTCCCCAGAACACACGAGACAACCTGTTAGAACCGAACAAGGGATTCACTGCACAGCCTTTGCAAACTGCCCAACATGTGTGTAATTCAATGTACGTGGGTACCGGTGTCTACAAAAACAAAACTAAGGATCATTTTCCACCGTTTATCCAGGAGGAAGCTGAAAGACAGGTTTGGGCCACACACAGCGAATGAAGTCCGTATCATGCAAAGCCTGTTCACCCACACTCTCCACACTTAGGAGAGAGGCCTCCCTCCCCATCAGGCACACAGCAACAGTGAGTCTGCGATGAACACTAGCGTGTCCGCACATCACTCATGCTCACAGTTCATCCTCATCCAAGCCCACAAAGGAAGCACTGTTGGCATTCCCTATTCACAGAGGGCGCAGGGGACCCGCTCAGGGAGACACAGCTCATAAGTTACAGACCCAGAACCCGAATCCCAGTCCCTTTCCCCAGCCCGTGTTTTTAACCACACCAGTCCACCTGTCTCTAAAGGAAGCAAGAGCCTCAATTCTCGCCCGCATTGTTTCCTCGCGCATTTCCAGTAAGGTCTGCAAGGAAACCCTTCCTTGGCCTTCAAGGATTCAAAAAAATTTGCTCTCTGGATCTTAACCTATCGTGGATGCAATCGCCACCCCTCTAGGATGGTAACTGGTTCTGAAGAGTACCAAGAATGTTCAAGAACATTACTGGACCTTCCCACACCTGCTCACCTCCAATCCCACAAGGAGAGAAAAGGAGCCCAGAAGAAAAGATGGCTTCCAGGCTCCCAGGCTCCCAGGCATTAGGACCACGGCCGTGGGGATGGTGGCTGAGTGTCCCTGGCCCCACGGGACTCACCTGGGATGTGCTTGGCCCAGCCGATGATGACCACGAGCTCCCTGTCAGCCAGGTCACAGAGAGTGGTCAGGGCCTTGATGTCGCCCTCGGGCATGCCAGGGGGAGGCATGGCATACAGCTTGTCGGGCTCGGCCACCAGCAGGTAGGAGACAATCTTGGTCACTGCCAATGACCAGAGGAGGAATGTAAATGTTGGGGAAAAGAGGAAGGTACTCGGGAAGAAAATTCGGGATCTGGGGAGTCCCAGAAGGTCACCTCCCTTCCCTCTCTGACTCCGCAAACTTATTGGCCGTGGTGATTTGGGTTCCTGTCAAATATCCAAGGGAAGCTGCTGGTGAATTCTCTTGAGAGGACCTGGCTCTGAGTGGGAGGTGAGGACAGTATTCTGGATGCTGGCCCAGGCCTTCGTAGGATCAAGCTTCGCTTGGAGCCATATTCCATAAATCCCACACGAAAAGCCTTGTGAATGAAGGCACCAAGCCAGGCACTGAGGCCACCTCCCCCAGATGCACACTGTCCCAGACCCAGCAGTGGGAAGGTGGCATTGCCCCCAAAGGATGCCAGATGTTCCGGGCATGATGTGGGCAGAAGGGGCACGGGTGACCCTGGCACTCACATGGCTTTTTAGCAGGCGGGGAAATCTGTAAGCTCAGGTACGGGCTGCTCTCAGAGTCCAGCCGCCGTTTGTATTTCTGACGGCCTCCACGCACTCGGTCAAGGCGCACACCTGGGGAAAAAAGGGGAAAAGGTATTAGGTTTTCCAACATCAGGGGACTTAGCACTAGCTCTGAATTTCAACTCTGGCTTTGTACCCCCGGACTCGATGCCTTTCCAGCTGCCCTGGGGCCGGCCTCAGGCCAGAGTCGGGCAATCCTCACTCAACTCTCTAATACCAACAGCCCCTGGGCCCGGCCCTGTCTCCGGTTCTGCATCCTCCTGAACCCTATCCTGAGCAACCTTCAGCTCTCGAGCCTTTCTGTCTCTAGAGGGAAACACAACAGAAACGCTCCTCTAGGTGTCGGGGAAGGGAGACTCCTTATTGCAGATCTGCTGGGAACCCAGGGAGTGCTGAGTTGGTTTGCAAGAGAGGAAAGGAATCTCGGCCTCTAGCAAGTACCTCAAATATGAAAACAAGAATTTTTTTTTTTTTAAACAAGAATTTTCAAACTTTTCACATACACGGCATCTGGATAGGGGTTCATGACCAACGGCAGTTTCTGGGTCCCACCTTCCGAGATTGCAGGATGACATTCTACGGTCTCTTCTAGAACACAGGGAGGGTGAGGACTGGTCAGGGCAGCGGGAGTACTCTCAGAAGCAGGGGTGTGGGCAGCCCTGGGCCAGACGCTCCTGGACGGGGATGCAGGTGAGGTGTCCTGCCTGCAGCTAGTGAGCGAACACCGCCGAGTCTCCCAGCAGCAAGTGCAAAAAGCATCCCTCCCCAGGAGAGAGGACTCTCTCAGAGAGATCCGCTATTTCTCCGGGTCTCTAGGGCCTTCCAGAAACCCACCCCACCCCTCAGCTCCCGCTGTCTAGAGAGACGTGCTGGTACCATCTGATACCCCTACCAGCCCACAGGGTGGACAGGACCTCCACCAATCTACGCGGCCTGGCCTAGAAAATGGATGGGACCCAACAAACTAGCAGAGCAGCGGGCTCCTGTTTCCTTCCCATGAAACAGGCCTTGACTAAAACACGTAATAAGGGGCACCTGGGTGGCTCAGTCATTAAGCGTCTGCCTTGGGCTCAGGTCACAATCCCGAGATCCTGGGATCGAGCCCGCATCTGGCTCTCTGCTCAGCAGGGAGCCTGCTTCTCCCTCTCCCACTCCCCCTGCTTGTGTTTCCTCTCTCACTGTCTCTCTCTGTGTCAAATGAATAAATAAAATCTTTTTTAAATAAATAAATAAATCAATAAATAAAACACATAGTAAGACAGAGCCGGAGTCCTGAGGGGAGGACAGCGGGGTGGTCTCCTCAGCCTCCGAGCTGACAGGCCCAGATCAACCCCTTTTCCTCTCCCAAAGGTCAACAGCATCGCCCTCACAGAGGCCCAGCAGTGCATCTTCATCCAGGGCCCCGTCTGGCACTTTCCCCAGCACCTCCTCCTGCCTGTCCTCCCAGGGTGGCGGGGGCGGCTGCTCGTCCTGTCCGCTCAGGCCCTTCTTGGGCAGAGGCAGGAGGAAGGGACGGTAACTGAATAGGTTGAGGATTTGGATCCCATTCATGCCAGGGGTGATTTTCTGGCTGTTTCTTAGAATGCACAGCTAGTCCATTTCAGTCCCTGGGACCAGAGAGAAGTCCCCTAGAGCCACAAGAGCCACTGGAAGTAAAATCACTTTGTTTTCTGAATGGCAGGGACCAGCCCTTCAACTGCTAACTGCCCTAAAGGAACTTGGGGTGACGAGTGCCTCGGGTTGAGGGCTCAGACCACCTCCTCCCCCAGAAGCACCAAACCAGACCGCCTAAGGGGACGGTGTCTTTGGCCAGTCACTGCTCCGCATTTCCATCAGCAGGTGCCCCTTTTACTACAGACAGGTGCTCCTGTACTCGATGCTGGACATGGCTGCAGCGAACTTTTTCGGGGGCAGAGAGTTGACCCAGCATCCCACCCCTGCTCCCTGTGGGAAGGTCATTCCCCGGTGGTGCGTCATCTCGGAGGAGGCCAGTGCCCACCACCGACTCTGGATATCCAAGTGCGGCAGGTCCTCCGGCTGGTACCCGTCTGGAGGTCGAAGCATGGCCCTGGGACATATAGGCCCAGTCCACGGGAGGCTTTGATCGAATGGCACGTGGTCAGGGCAGCCCCAGGCCACATGCTCCCTGCCACCACATCTCCTGTGCCTGGGCTTCCCCTGGCCCTTGCTGGCCTCTCAGTGTGCTCTTGGAGCCTCTGGAGAAGCTTCCAGTGAACTCCCCTTTTGCACTGAGGGGCAGAATGGACTGCAACCGACCACACCTGCACCTGGGTTCTCCAGACCCTGAGGCGAGGAGAGTTTATCCAGAAGGTGAACTCGGGAAGACAGCCAGTAACCAGTGGGTTCCTGAGCAGGGGTCTCCGGGTGTCAGCCACGGAGGCTTGGCCTCACTGGGGACCCTGGGAGACAGGGTAGGACACGCCCCAGGGACCTCTACAGCAGATGAGGGCTTTGGGGCATTCACACAGGTGCCCAAAGAAAGCCCCCGGCCAAGCGGTGCTCACGAGGTAGCACTTGGGTCAGCATGTGCATGACAGAGGGCTGCGTGGACGCAGGTGGGACACTGGCTGCTGCCCTCCTCCTTCTCTGGGGTGGTCCCAGCCAGGCCTCACCTGGGAGCGAGTCTGAAATGCTAACAACTCAGGCTGCCCCCCACGAATCCGAGTCAGCACGCTCACAAGGTGACTCTTGGCATGGAGGCGGGTGAGTCTGGGAATCATCCGAGCGACCAGCCGTGCTCGGACCTTGAAGGGGACAGCGGAGACCCATCCCGTGCAGGACCTAACACCCATGTGCGCTGGGAGGACTTTGGCTCCCACCCTCCACCCCTCCCGGCTGCTCAGGGCAGAAGGAGCAGTCACAGAAACGTAGGAAGGACGGCTCCTCCCTTGAAGGTTTTGGAGGCAAAGGTCCCTGTTCTCCTGACCCCCTCCTGTGATCCAGCCTCAGAGCGGCTCACCCCTGCCTATGACACTGAGAGCCAAACCCTCTACCAAGCTTTGCTTTTTCTTGGAAAGCTGGTGAGATGAAAATGCCGAGCTTCGTTCACAGAGGACAATGAGGACGCCCCTTTCCTGCGCACCTACTACGCAGCAGGGTCTGCCTGGAGTCCAGGAGGAGCCCCTTCCCCACTTTGACTTTCTCTCCTGGTTCTCCCTTCCATCCCGCGGCTGTCAGCAGGAGTGGGAACTGCTCGACAAAACAAAGAACGAGGGAGGCGTCCCTTGGCAAGGCTGGCACTTGCCACTTCAGTCACTACCTCGATCTGGAATGTTCTCGGTCCGGACACAGGGCCCAGCCTTTAGCGGGTGTTTAAGAAGTCTCGGTGCATACAGGAACCGATGGGCCTCCTTCCCCCGACCCCCAGGAGGGCCGGGTGCTTCTTCCAGGGCTCCAATAGCACAGCACCCTGGCTTCCCCTCCCGACCAGTAGCCCCTACCCAGTGGGCTGCTCTCTGTCCCATTCCAGGGTCTGTCATGGTGCCCAATGCCCAGCAGATGTTGAGAAAGTCAGAGCTGTTACTGACATCATCTCCATTATTATTACTACTCCTCCCCGACACTGTGTACATGTCTCTGGTAAGTCACAGTAAGAAGAATCACGAGGAGGCGCCTGGGTGCCTCAGTCGGTTAAGCGTCTGCCTTCAGCTCAGGTCATGATCCCAGGGACCTGGGATGGAGTCCCACACAGCTCCTTGCTCAGCAGGGAGCTTGCTTCTCCCTTTCCCCCTGCTCCTCCCTCTGCTCAAGCTCGCTCTCTCAAATAAATAAAAAAAATAGTATTAAAAAAAGAATAATCATGTAAACAGCCTAATTTATGGAGGACTTTTGCTATGTGTTACCCTTTTTCATCTACAGCATATGAAGCTAGCACAATTATCCCCATTTTATGATTAAGAACCACTGAGGCTTGGGGGATGGTTGAGGGATCTGCCCAATAAAGGAGCCAGGACCCACCAACTCTTGGCTACACCAGGGTACCACCCCCCAGGACCCAACCTGTGTCATCTTCCGTCTACATTTTCTCCTTCAGATCTTCATGGCAGGATGGTCAATGGCTCCAATCAATACACACGTCAATTATCAGCTTATTCTGTTTTCTTAAGAAAAGTAGCCCCCTGGCTTTGATCTTGCCCAAACTGAGGCCTGACGTGAGCCAGGCTTGCCTCCTGGCTTCCTGCCTACTTTCCCAGGTCTCACCCCAGCCACAAGCCCTTAAGGGCTCCAGCCCACGGGATCCAGCGGGCAAGGACCCACACCCATCTTGATGGCTCAAACGGCTTTGGCGCAGTTGGCTCTCATAGTGTTTGTCTCATCATCAGGTATGGGGGAGGGGGCAATGGTGACACCAACTCTGCTCGCCGAATATGGCTTTTGTGATCATCATAGTGAGAAAATGCTTGGTCAGTTGGCAGTGGTTCCAGTAGGCCAGGGAAGGCCGTCCCTCCTGCCGCCACGCTCGGCAGCCTTCATGGGGACTTTGCCACGCCACCTTGCACGTGTTTCCCTCTGTTCCTATCCACTCTTCAGTAGGGTCTTAAGGGAAAGAGCCCACGTCAGCTCTGCTTTCTGAGCTCTCCTCCCCCCATACTGTACCAAGGGTAAAGAGGTCATCATATTTAGGGTGGAGGAGTCCTGAGGTGTAGGCCTGGGCTTCCTAACCCAGAGACCCCCTTCCCACAGGCTGCGCCCCCACCTGACACAGCCGTATCCTTCCAGCCCACGCTGTTCCCAAAGGCCAATGAAGATCTGGATTCACCCTCAAAAGCCCAGTTCAAGTATCAGCTCTACTGAGAAGCCTTCCAGACTCCCTGGAGCAGAGCTGGCCATGCCCTTCTTGAGCTCCCTTCGCTTACTCTCTATTACGGCAACTTCAGTCAAAAAAACAACTCTTCACAGTACACTGTGCTCATCCCCCTGCTGGACTATGGGCACCTCCTGGGCAAGGACTTTCATCTTTGACGCCCAAGCTCAGCACCCAGCCCGTGGGAGGCAGCCAAGCATCTGAGTAGAATGATGCACCAGTTCAA